TCGTTTATTGAAGAGGTGCAAAAATGATAAAATGGGCTGTATTTTGAAACATGGGAATTAAGCCAAGTGTTGGTTGGCCAGAAATCCTGTCAGTGATCAGTACCATAGGTTGGTGCGCGCAGTAGTGCGCGTCATTCAAACTGGTTAAAGAATCACGACAAAATACAGCCCATTTTATCATTTTTGCACCTCTTCAATAAACGATGTCTAATATCACATTTCTAATAGTACTCGCCATCGTTGGAAATAGGACATCCTGTGGTGAAGGCTATTCTCGATGCGTTAAATGGATATGATCTACTTTCTGAAACTATCTGCAGAAAGCATTCACCTCGGCTAGGCCTCGAATCATTGTGGTGTCGTGTATTCTTTCACCAGTTTGAATGACGCGCACTACTGCGCGGGTCCAACCTATAGTACTGATCACTGACAGGATTTCTGGCCAACCAACACTTGGCTTAATTCCCATGCTTCGAAATACAGCCCATTTTATCATTTTTGCACCTTTTCAATGAAAGGATGTCTGGTACTTATCACATTTCTGATAACACTTGAAGCATACCCCATATGGGCGGGGCGTTCGCCGAAGTGAACGGTGCCGAGGACAAAAACCAGCAAACGAAACTTCACGAAATTGGGAGTAAGGTGAAACTGAGCAATGGTTTGGCAGATGAAGTTAGTAAGGGATAACCGTAGGGAGTATACCAAATGGTTGGTACCGTCGGCAATATATAATAGTTCATAATTCGCTCACCAAACACGCACGTGCGGCATAATTGCAGTGAAGAGGGTATTTGCCACAGTGAGGGGAGTCAAAATCAGGTGTTCGTGAATCATTTTGTTTATTTATTATTTGTTCATTTACCTACTATTTATACAATTTAGGCAAATGCATATTCCGTTCATCCACTAATCATCCAATACCGACAGACCACACATTGACTATACAGTAGTTTCACAGTTGTTTACCATTGGGAGGGTACTTGCTGATCTCTATCCTACTATATATAAACGGCAACGTCTGTTTGTCTGTTTGTCTGTCTGTCTGTCCGGAAATTCGGAATCACCTGAAGAGCCAGTTGGAGGGGGCGGGTCAAGGGTGGGTTGGGTAGGGCATGGGCCAAGATGTACGGAACACACATGAACTAAGCTAAGCCCCGCCCACTGTGGGCGGGGCGTGCGCACATTTGTGAGCTACATTTTTCAAAAATTCGTAGTTCGGTTCCAAAAGAGCCCCGAGAGTGGAAAAAGTGGCAAACGATAGGCAATCAGTTGGCGGACGAAATCGGAGCACACCCCATATGCGGTGTATATATGCGGGGCGTTCGCCGAAGTGAACGGTGCCGAGGACAAAAACCAGCGAACGCACCCGAAAAACCCACGAAATGGGGAGTAAGGTGAAACTGAGCAATGGTTTGGCAGATGAAGTTAGTGAGGGATAACCGTAGGGAGTATACCAAATGGTTGGTACCGTCGGCAATTTCTGCGATTCCTCCTCACTAAGGAGGAGTGTAGC